ATATACTAGGGAAATAATAAAAGTATTATAAATATGCTCCTTTGGATGGCTTCATATATTGTGTAATAAGAACATTTAGTTTGATATTACTATTATTTTTTTTTTTATTTATCTCTTTGACCTTTAAATGAGAGGTAATGTTCTAGTGATATTGTGAAACCGAAAAGCAACAAAAACTACACTAATCTAAAATTTTCCAAGTTCACACTCTGCAAAAATAATAGGGCAAAATGCCTGATTAACTGAATTTTGCAATGATATCAATCTGATATAGAAGACATGTAACATATAAAAGCATATCAATTCATATCAGTGACGTCATCTATGTGTGATGAGTGCGTCATAAATTAGTACAAGTCTTACTCTGACTATTTAGTATCTTATACACTAATTTTTCATCTTAATTCATTTTTTAATAGCATTATTACAAAATTAAAATATCTGTATAATGTAACTAAACATTGTATTTGAAATTCACCTCTTTCAATAGCACATTTCTAGACATATTCATTAGCAAGCATACACAGTGCTCCACTATTATTACGTAAGGATCTCTCACACGTCATTTTTTTCGGAGAATACTGTTGCCAATTTTTCTTCTTTGTCCAACAGCAATACATAGATCACTTTGGGTTAACATGGGAAACTGTTCCCCATTACAAACAAGCTGATAGTTGATTGATTTAAACTACATTTGCAATTTTTTTTAGAAAGGAAGGAAAACGTTGCTGTCCTTCTTTCAAGAACCCAGGCAAAAAATGTCCGAACAGTTTTGTTCTGTGAACAATGCCGGTGATAAGGGTCTCATATCATCTTACATCTACATTCACTTCCAGAACAAGGGTCAAATTTTTCAGCTGCCATTCACTGTGCCAATGCCTGAATTAAAAAAATTTTATAAAATCTTTAAAGGAGATTCAGTATTGAAAAATCTTAGATCATAACTGGTCTACCACAAAATATATTATTTTTTTATACATAAATAATAAGTTGTTCAGCTGAATGAATTCTTTAACATAGAGAAGGTCAATGGTTGTGAATCCATCATATAATAAGATAATTTATAAAAATGAAATAGGGGTTTAATTTAAATTTTATTATTTATTAAGATAATTATCCTCTAACTTAATTCTATTCAACCTGAAACACACTTTCTACAACTTATCCTTGGCTACTATAGTCCGTGAGTCACTGACAGATACAGTCAGCAATGAGATACGTCATAATTGTTATCTGTCGTCCTGTACATGTGCGTCATGTAATGTTTTTCCTACACTTGCATGTTGCTACATACTTTCCACAGCAGAAATATACAATTTTATGAATCTAATTTGCAATAAATATAGTATACAGAAAACAATCCAACATACTTTATATTAAAGTGCATTTATTAATCATTGATGAAATTACATACATCAAAATATACTTATTTTGACTTTACTATTACTTTAGATTATTAAATCATCATCAATTCTACATGCTGTCAATCATCTGCCTTTAAAATAGAACTGTTACATTTAATTTTCAACAGGTTTTCTATTCAATGTATTGATAGTATAAGGAGTTAAATTGCTATTATATTTTATTTTTACCAATTCTTTACGTTTAACCCATTCTTACATTATTTATAACTTCAACCAAAACATTTCAGCCATTTTGGATAAAGACTCAATTACCTTGCATCAGTTTAGCTGTATAAAATTACGCTCATAACTTTTCTTGAGTTTCTCGAAATGATTTTCTTTTCGAAAAAATTAAAACAGTAAGAAACAAATTCTTAAACATCTTTCTAATGCTATTAATAGAATTTAGGAATGTTAAAAATGTTAATAACTGTTATTGTTAAATACATATACACATTTGCACATATACATATCAATTTACTAATGGGAAATATATACATACTGAACAATCTCGCATAGCTTTGTTTGAAGCTCGCGCTATCCCTGGAGCTCTGCATTTACCTGACTTCCTTTACCCTTTTGTCACTCTTCAATCGATTCAAACTTGATCTATCGTTCAACTTTCCAGTGTTGAAAGCGTACAGAAAAAATCTTTTCACAGTAATTATTTACATTGCCCATATACTACGAAGACTTAAACGCCGGATTTGTTTACAATCAGATGGCGGTACTCTACCACATACCGTATTTATCCTCTTTTTCAAATCGCGCCACATAATATTCGCCAAATTGTTTTTGGGCATGCGCAGTATGCGACATTCGTTTAACACAGTTCAACTCAATGTGCGGTTTGCCATTACGCCTCCCGCTCTTCTTCCCATACCACAAGCTCTCGAGAGAATTTTCTGCTCGCCGTATATTTAAGAGTGCCCTCAGGCGGCACGGACACTATACATTTACATACATCCATGCTTTCTCTGGGATTGGAAACTGGGCCCTTCACGACGGTAGTCAGACAAACTAACCACTACACCGGTTGGGCGGCGCAGTTTATACGTATCTTTACACAACTTTGTTTCTGGAATTAATTTTTATTTGGAATTTGCTTTAAAATGCTTTCACGAAATGGAATTTGAATATAAAAGAATTAAAAAATTGATTTTTATTTTTAGTCTGGATCTATTAATACTCTTGAGCAATATTTTTTTAATTCACGTGCTCTACATAAATTACACATAAAACGGAACACATTCCTCGTGATATCAAAACTGATGTTTTATGCATTTCATCAGTTATAGTTAGGTTGATGGAGTTAAATTATCTGCGGCAAAGATCAGACTGTCACTTAAGCTTTATTCACAACCTAGCTGATAAAATACTGAAAATGATTTTGGATTCTACTTGAAGTTCAGAATCTTCCGACACGCATTTTATGTGCAATCTTTGGATTTTTCCCTCAATTCCTAGATCCTTAAAATCAAATGAATGTGTGCTGTTTTTATCCTCCACATTATAAGAAACTTTGCACTGGAACAATGCATTCAAAACAGTTATCCATATGTAAAATATGTGACAATTATCACTCTTTTACTCAGAGTTGCCACGATACCTGGAAAACCGGAAAAAGTCAGGAAATTTTAATATTTTAGTCAAAATCTGAAAAAGTAAGGGAATTTCATACTGCAATCCCCAAAAAGGCGATTTTCGCGCCAACTTCGGAACTGATGAACTTCTTGTCGAATCATGTATCGTGCGAGCGTCATTCGGACGCACGCATTGGTCTACATGCTGGGCGCGTATTCCAGAAGTCCGTGGTTCGATTCCCGGGGAAGGAGTTGTATATTTTTCATCTTTCCTGCTTCCAAAATACCTAAATGTCTCTACAAGTTTTGTGCTTGAGTTTGTATTCTGGCCAATTCGACTTCATTTTTTTGTCTAATTTTCTCTAACTCATTATCTCTCTTTCTTCATTCTCGCAATTTTCTCGAACTCAAATTTTTGATTTTGTTTCTTGATTCTGACGTCAACAATATTTTCCAAAATTCTTTTAACAAAATCTGGGTCACTTTTACATTCATTGCTATTTAGAACAATATTCTAAAAATCGGAGCTTTTAAAGATAGTGGCACTATTGTCACTATCTTGAAAACCTCCCATATCTTCGCCAATGTCTTCTGCCAGAAATTTTGAGTCTTCTTTCTTGACATACTATTTCACTGATAAAAACATGATTTAAACCTCGGATGATAAATTTTGGGTAACTTTACAAAGTATATAAGTGGACGCCAAGTGAAAGATGCATTCTGAAAATTAACTTAATTTTCTGCCACTGAACTATCTACCTTTTACCCTAAGCTCCACAAAAGCTTTAATGAAGAATTTCTTGAATAATGAAATATTACACATCACTCAAATAAAGATATCTTTTATTTACAACATGTATTCGACCTAGCAAGTCGAGAAAATCCGGTATTCTAATATGTAGTAATTTTTAATAAATTTAGAAGAATATTATTTTTATAACAACTATAAACTTAAATTAGACGCATTTCATGAGCATAAATTAGAAAATTTAATAAATTAAATATTGTTGCCACTCACAAATGTATTAATAATAATCATTTGCATTTACGTAGCTAACGTGCTTATAGTAAAATAAATAAATAGTTAGCAAACAGAGCACCAACACTTACAGTTATGTTCTCTAGAGTAGCAGCGTGAAAGTAGAAAAACATCTACCTGCATGAAATGAAAACTAATGATCATCTGATATGTGTTTTTGCATTTCTTTCATTAAAATAAAATACATGCGTTTGACAAGTGTGTGTATTCAATATATTTCTCATTTGACAAAATTCTATAGTCAGTTTTACGTTAGATATCTTGTTTTAAAGATATATTTAGTCCAAAGGGATTTGAATCCCGAAGGACTATTAGTTTCGTTTTGGCATTTTGCGTCGGACTCATAAATGTCGGTTCACTTTTCAAAAACTGTTGCCACAAAATGTTAGAGTCCTGCATTATATTGAAGAAATTAATAATGAAAATCTGCATAAATGTATGTATATTTCTCGTATTGTGATAAAACAAGGTACATAGAGTCATCGAATTTGAATAACGTATCCTCCAACGAATATGAGCACGTGTAAGACCAAATTTGAAATTTGAATTTGTTTTTATGATCGATTTCCTATTTTTTAAAACTTTGACGAATTTTTGATTAACAAACTCAAGGATTTCAAAGCGAGCAATGGCAACGTTGTGCTGAAAAAAACATTTTTATCTCCAGCGCGTGAGTCTCTGTATCGGAATTCTAAAGATATGCTCGTTTTAAAACTATTTTGGCGATATTGCTGTTTGCACGGGATCTTATGGTTAAAGTGCGAGGAACATGATATTTAATAAAGAAAGTAACACAACAAATGTTAAAAACGCCCCTTTGGACGTAATTTAAAATCTGAAACATTTCAGAGTTTTTTTTTTTTTTTTTTTTTTTACCTTATTTATCTTTACAGCAGTTAAATTATAACAATGTGCGATTTAGCTTCGTTGAATTTTGCAAATGCAGTATGGCAGCACTGAAATCTAAAGAACATGCTTTAACTAAGATTTTCAGCGTAATGTAAACGATCTCGTCTTTGCTACATTTGTATCTATTATCTGTATTATATTCATTAGGTAATTATATATTTTTAATATGCTCCCGAAATTTAATACATTTTAACGAAAATATTTATCTCCTAGATGTATTTTATGCATGTAAGTGTAAATTAGAAAATGTTTTATATATACAGTGGCTACCGAAAGTGTTCGTACAGTTACGAGTTTCAGTGACATAGTCTTGTCTTTATTATTCTTTAATATTTATTACTATTTTGCAATGAAAAATTTTTAATAATATCTATAAATTTCTCTTAGCAAGACTACATTAATTATTTTATGAACATATTAAACTTTTTTCCGGAAAAATTTTATTTTGGGAAATCAGTAATAAAAACGTAACAGAAAAGGTATCTCACAAAAGTCTTCATACTCTTTAAAGAAACCTGCGCATATTAGCAAATACTATAGTACTCACACAAACCACACAAACAACCACATCACACATTCCACACAAACAAGTGCGTATGTGTCTATTGCACATTGCGTTAATTTACAATGAAACAATATAATAGCAAATGTTTTCTATCATTGGCTTTATCATTTTGAATAGCTCATATAAATTTGTGAGATTTTATACTCTATATCAGAATTCTCTCAGAATTCTTCAAAGACGAATCCTTAAAATGGTCAATTTATCTTAACTGCATAGATTAAAATTATTTTAGGCGATAAACCGAAATCATGAAGATTAGATCATGATTACTTCATAATCTTATATTTTATTATTTTGAAATTTTCCTTATATTTTTCTGATTTTTTAAAATTTACATAGTGAATATTATTAATTTATGTTTCAGTGTAAATATTACGAGGTGTTAAAGTGTAATCTGACGTTTTCAGATTTAAACATTTTGTATTTGTTGTCTATTTTTATTTTTTGTGTTTGTTATTTTTTTATTTTTACGTCAATTAACAAGAAATATATACCAATATTTACAGGTAAAACATTTGGCGAAACATTTTGAAACCTTCTAAGGACAGATTACTGATGCAAAAAAATATCATAATATCTCCCAAAAATACTGGGGTGTTTGCAAACACATAGCCGAAAAATGCATAAAATAATAATTTTTCAAATTCTTTTTATAAATTTCATTGCAATAAATTAAATTATCTTAAGTCCTAATCGAGTAATTCAAGATATTATAAATTAGCTCTGATTTCGTAAATACAACTAACTGAAGAAACATCAATCAAAGTTTAAGAAACTGATCATTCTTCGTTTTAATAATTTAGTCGTTAATGTTAAACCAAGCGAGGACTGTCTGACTATTGGAAGGGAAACACTCACGGATTTTTACTTCCTTGTACGAAATAAAAGAAGTATTGTAATCGCGAAAAATTGTGTTATCTGTTTGACCTTGATTAGCTCAGAAGGACGCCATAGCTAGCGGAAAATTACCACAGGTTTCACCAAGAGCTGAATATTTAACCTTTAGAAAACCGAAGCCTATGTTATCGTGTATGTATAAAATACACAAACGCCCTTCCCCGTCCATCATTCATTCCGTCAGTTTTCTCCTCTCCCCGTCTATTAAGGCACAAAGAGGGGAAGATTTCAAATCACATCCTTTCTACCTCCTAACTAAGAAGCTTAGTTAGCCTTTTAGGACAATCGGTCTGAAAGAAGCTGATACAATGCATTAGGGGAAACTGCACCTATTACTGCATACTTTAGGGGGAGGGAAAAAAGCAACATCTTAATTTCAGCTGTTTCAGGCGATTGTGGTTGTTTGAATGGTAGGTTGTCTCGGGTGTTTTGACCGCCAAAGAGTTAACTCAACGGGTCGAAACCAAGGAACGGATTGGCTGCATGTTTAATTTTCGGTATCCCCTCCCCATATGTACAGTGAATTCAAGCCAGTTTTCTTTAGAATGTCCTTTACGAAGGCATCGTCTCTTTAAGCAGCTAACTCTGATGTGCCTTACCATGTCCAAATAACCTAATCTTACCTATCCTAACGTAAGAGACTACCTAAAAAGCGTCACGTCCCTTTCTTTTGGCAGATAGTCCTTCAGTGTTTCCTCTCCATATGATCAACCTCAATCAGCCAACTAATATAGTTGGTTAACTAAGGCACGAGGGAGGGAAAGGTCTTCTTGATGCACCAGAGATGCCATGTAGTGAAAACGTTCGGAAACAAACCATTTTGCCAAATGCGATATGATGTCATGGTCCCTAGATAAGTAAAAAAGTAAGTTTTATGACGTATCTATTTATTAAACTTTATATTTCAAGTCCAACCCTTTTAGTACATCTCTGTAGAAATTTTTAATGTGTCGTGACCGATGATTGTGGGTTCTTTTCTTTTATTATTCGGCGAAAAACATCAAATAAACTATTGTTTTTAAACGTTTTTATTAAGAGTAATTTAGTACAGCTGTATCGTTCATGTAACTTACAAAACTGTTCTAAAAATTTTTTGCTTACTTTTTAAACCATTCAGAGCATGATCCATTTTGAATAACAGTACCATAATCGTAATTGTTTCCGCGCAGTCCGTTTTACTATTTACCCCCCCCCACTTGCGTTTTGCTGGCGTTGGTGTCCTCGTTCTTTATAGAGGGCGCCAGTGCTTCACTTAATGTCTCTTACATTTTTAACAAAATACGCATATTTTAAAATAATACTTTTTTAATAAAATGTATCATATTTAAAAGTTACTTCAGCAAAGTCTGTTTTCAAGATTTTGGAAGCACAACATGCTCATAGTCTTTATGTTCACTTGTAAATTAACCATCAAAGGTGTTAAATAGTTTGGAAACGAGACAGAGAACATTCATTTTACATTTCAATGTCTTTTCAGGTATATCTGAAGAAACACTACGGTATGATTCGTCTCCATTTACCGCTGCGATTCATACAAGGAATCCTGTTACTTCTCGTGATTTGGGTTACATTATATGCAGTCTTCATTTTATTGAATAAAGGTGAAAGTAAAACTAAATTCTTTGATAATCTTGTACCGTCTTCTACTCTGTCTTTTCTGCCATCTCTATCATTTCCAATATTATCTCCTGCAGTAATTCCTGTATCTTCTCCTACACTAGAATATGGTCCACTCAAATTCCTGAACAAACTCCCGCCATCGTTTGTGCAGAAACATCCTTATTTCCACTACGATATGGATTCTGAAGAACCACAAAGCTCAGATATGAAATGCTTGCTACCACGAATACATCCTTTTGATCCTTCCATATGGGGCTACATTGGACGCCAAAGATCGGTATTTTGCAAGCACAGTAAACCACAATTGACGTACATCGATAACAACGGCAAACTTAGGTACAATAAATCTGACATCCAGATGCCAAGCAATAGGATTCACGAATCGTTGGAATGTTATTGGTCATCTGTCTACAGAGGAGAACCTAATGCTGAGAATGATGATTCGGTGGTATTCGGAAATAAGGTGATAATGCATTACATTCCCTACCCTTTTTACTTTCAAATATTGTTTTGTTTCATGTTATATAAATCATTACTGAGTTTTACAGGGTATTTCTAGGGAATTACTGAGTTTATACAGGGTGTTTCATAGATCATGGAACAAACTTGGAGGGGTGGTGGAGCGTACTAAAACATGCATTTTTTTGCATAGGAATGTAGAGTCTAAAGTGACGGGTTAAGGCAGGAACGCAAAAGGAACGACACGAGAAGAAAATGTGTTTATGTACAAAATCAACGCAAAGTGCTTCTTTGCAGGAATACAGTATTCACAATAAATGTTGAAAAACGGGAACACTAACAGTAATAGGAACTGCACCTGTGATTGGCTGGCAATGCAGCGGTAGAAGACGGTAGTGAGCCCGACAAACCAGATCCGATGCATCAGGGATATTCGCAACTCTGGTCGAACGGAGGGTGAGTTTACGGCGCGGGGAAAGCTGACTCATCTCATGTATGTGCTGCTACGGAACGGCAGCGCAGCGCTAACGGTTGTACAGGAACGGTTTTCCGAATAGGGGTATGCCGAAGCACCAATGTCGAGAGGTTCATCGGTCTCTGTGCGAAACGATCATTTGAAGCCCCAATGATACTAGGAGTGGAAGAAAAGTGCACGACAACCTCTCATTGAATCACCTCACACAAGTACAAGATTATTGTACATCGTCTGCAGCTGAGTCCTTCACCGTTGGAGAGTATTTAATAAAATGTTTGCACCCAACCATTTGCCAGCCTTGCAAGAGACAGATACCCTCTTCGAGTTCATTTCTGACATTGGTTCTGCAGAAGTGTGCAGCAACAGGCGATTTCCCATCGGATGTGCTATTCACGGACGAGGAACTTTCTTCTCACAAGATGGCATCGTAACAGCCACAACATGCACGTGTGGACAACTCATAATCCACACGGCACACGTCCATATGCATCTCAAACCCGCTTCTCCATGAAAGTGTGGGCGGATGTTGTTAACGACTACCTCATAGGCCCATACCTCTTACCTGCACGTACAAATGGTTTATATTATCATATTTTTCTGCAAAAGGTGCTACCGGAATCGCTGCAGGATGTTCCGGCTGTCGTTCGTGATCGCATGTGGTTCCAGCATAATGGTGCACCAGCCCATAACTACGTGCGGGTCCGCAATTACTTGGATGGGACATTTCCGGGCCGATGGATTGGCCGCAGGGCGAACCCGTTCAATGGCCACCTGTTCGCCAGATTTATCCAGCGTGGAATTTTTTATGGGGCCATTTGAAAGACTCATTACGAGACTCCCGTTGACTCACTGGAGGACCTCGTTGCACACTATCCATTGCGGCTGAAGTGGCGCGAAATGCCTGTCGTTTTTCAAAATGGTCGTCATCCCTTCTGCGACTTACCAAGCATTTATTACGCGGGTGGTCGCAATTTTGAACATTTATTGTAATACTGTATTGGCTAAAAATAGCCTTGCGTTGATATTTACATAACAAATTTTCCTTTCGTGTCGGTGTTTTTTTTTTTTTTTTCCGTTCTTTCCCTTCCAACTGCATTAGACCCTACATCCTATAAAAAATGCATGTTTTAGTACGCTTCACCACCCCTCCAGATTAGCATTTAACTCGCAGCAAAAGATCTATTCTGAATGTCAAAACTTGAGTTCGGTTTTACTGAGGATTTTATGATTATTTTATAATACATAATCTTATTTTTAACTATATGCAGTAAAATATATAAAATTATATTAGAATTAAAAGACAATGATGTGTGTTAAATTTTTGAGTTTTAATTGATAATGTTCTTTGCTTCCAATTACTAAGTCAGCGTTTCAGCCACCGCACGACGGAAAAGAAACCCTTTTCATAAATCATTTAAATAAATTTACTATTTTAAATTCCTAAATTTATGTAACTTTATTTGTATGAATTATTTGCATAATTTTGTTATTACACAATTAAAAGTAAGTGCATCAAAATATACAGGGTCTTAGCGCCTAGAAATTAAATCAAAGTCCTTCAGACCACATTAGACTGACAAAAAGTTTTCGCTCCCCCTGAAAATTATGATAAATTATTAAGAATTTTGTAAATAATATTTTTATTTAACTCTTGAAATTAAACAGAAGGCACCATTTATGTTTACAATCAAAACAGCACCACTAAGGGTACCTTAAATAACATTGGCTGAAGTTTCAAATTCAAGGTAACGTAGTAAAAAACTGCATAAAGGGGTCTGCTTAAGCTGTCTCAATAGTTTAAAGCGCGATTTTAACGTCGGCTAGCGAAATGGATAAACCCGGAGGTATTCATTGGCAGAGCCGGGGATACAGCGTAGACAGCACTGCGCTGTAATACAAAAACATTCAAAACCCTTGAGTTAAATGTGCTAAAAGCTAATTTGGGTACTTTTCCATTTTGCCGGCGCAAACGATAAAGTTGCCAATAATGGTACAACTGATGCCAAACCAGAATATCTGCGTTGGTAACCTTTTACGCTTCATTTTCAAAACAAGTCGCAGCCATTTCTTATCAGATTGATTGTTTCCTTCAATACTCGCATACATAGAATTTTTACAAAAGATAGTAAAATTTAATGCCCTAAGACCGTTTTACTTTAGTTACTTGAAAAACTGATAACTAATAGATAGTTAAAATCGTAAAAAACCTTGTATTTAGCGTAAGTATATTGAAACACTCAATCGATTTCGAGGGCAGCTAAAGGTCCCTCCTCATCAGGAGAAAGAAATACCTAGAAAGAAGAAAAATAAAAGGGGAAGACGTCTCAGAAACACGTGGTCCTTATCAGCACTGCACGTGGTTATAACCGGATTTTTATCAGAGTTAACTGGGCCGCCTACTTTTACTGAGCCAGGCTATCTGATCAAACATGTAACACAAAGGACAAGAAAAATTCGAAGTTAAAATAGGGAGCGAGGGGCAACTGCACCTTCACGCTCAAAATCTGAACTTCGAATAATGGAAAGCACCACTGAACGGATTTTTTATACCCTCTGGTAGTACCAAACGCGAGGAGGTAACGCCATCTATCGGCAAAAATAGTAACTGAATTAAGATAGTAGAATTTTAAAGGCTTTAGGAAGGACTGGATTGGACTTAAAATCATTAACTAAACATGCTAAATCTTTGTGAATAATGAAAGCCTCAAGAAAATCCAATTCACCTATGGAAGAAGCCTTTTGGATAATTTTTGCAGACCCAGTCAAAAATTATGGTTAAATGTCCAATTATAATTTAAATGTAAAATTATAGCTTCTGTGTTGAATTCTTGGGGAATATATAGTATATCGTGTCAGTGTGGTTTAAGATATATTGGCCAACCAAAAAGAGCGTTGAAGTTTCGTATCAAGGAACATGAATCTTATTTCAGAAAGGCGAAATTAACAAGTCTTCAATAGCGTATCATAGTTGGACATTTAACCCATAATTTTGACTTTGGGTCTGCAAAATTATCCAAAGCCTTCTTCCATAGGAATTGGATTTTCTTGCGGCTTTTTCATATTCACAAGATTTAGCATGTTTTTAATGATTTTAAGTCCAATCCAGTCCTTTCTAATGCCTTAAAAATTCTACTATCTTAATTCAGTTACTATTTTTGCCGATAGATGGCGTTCCTCCTCGCGTTTGGTACTAACCAGAGGTTATAAAAATCCTTTCAGTGGTTGCTTTCCATTATTCGAAGTTCATTTTGAGCGTGAAGGTGCAGTTGCCCCTCGCTCCCTATTTTTAACTTCGCTATTCTTGTCCTTTGTTACAATGTTTGATCAAGCCTGCTCAGTAAAAGTAGGCGGCAGTGTAACTCTGATTAAAAATCAGGTTATAACCCGTGCAGTGCTGATAAGGACGCACGTTTTCTGAGACTCCTCCCCTTTAGTTTTCTTCTTCTAGGTATTTCTTTCTCCTGATGAGGAGGGACCTTTAGAGCTGCCCTCGAAATCGATGAGTGTTTTCAATATACTTACGCTAAATACAAGGTTTGTTTTTTTACGATTTTGATTGTCACATTAGGGTGTTTCTCTTCTAGTCTAATAGATAGTTATTTGAAAAACTGATAACTAATAGACTTCAATTCATTATTTATAGCAAAAATTATATCTGAGACTCCCAATATGGCTTTCGTAGCAGAAGGCAGATCTTGCACTTTATAAAGTAGTTGAAGAAATAAGATATAAATAACGAATACTTTATCATGTGGCCCTGGTCTCGTTTGATGTCCAGGGTGCATTCGACACAGTAAAATGGTCTTCTGTTTTGTACACATTAAAGAAACTTGATGTTTCAAAGTCAAATGTTTTGACAGTCAAGGATTACTTCAGAGACAGGTATTTGGTCTACAAGGGGAACTTGGAGAATTCAACATTAAATTGGCCCATAAATAAAGGTTGTCCCCAGGGGCTCCTGTAGCGCTCCCCCTGTTCTGGGGTCTTATTGTAAATATTTGCTCAAGGATGTAAACATACCTAATATTTCCACTTATTGTTACGGCAGACGACTTTTATTTTTTAATCTATGATGTTTCTTTGGATAAGATTGAGTCCTATTTCAGGAAATTGGGTTGCGTTCTAAAAATTTGGACTAAAGAAGAAAATATTTTATTTAACATGGATAAAACTTGTGGAATTTTTTTCCCAAAAGAAGGGAAAAAAGTAAGGAATCCAAAACTCAAATTTCATGACAAAAACATACAATTTTATAGTACAATTAAATATCTGGGTGTCACACTGAATGAAGAACTAACTTTTATAGAACATTTTAAGACTATCCATAGAGAAACCGACAAGATCTTAAATTTTTACAGTATTCAATTTAATGTTAATACTTTACAGGTCAAGAGTGATATTCTGAAAAATGTGTGTGACAATGTTATTATACCCAAGATTATGTACGGTATCGGAGCTTGGGGCCGCCGGGCAGGGAAGAGCTTGTCAGGTTGAGAACTAAGATTGATTCAATACAAAGAGGCTGGCTT